GGCATTACCCAGCTGAAGGCCTCTTTGTGGCATTTGGGTTTCCATATGCTGCACTGAAGAAAAATGTCTACTTACGTGCCAGGTGGGTGAAAAAGTAGCCGGAATAAGCCACGGTAAAAGCCGTGAAAGCTGCAGCACACACTCCCTCCATGGCTGGAGCAGTGCTGCTCAATCTGCAAGGGACAAAGGCTGTAGGGAGAAACCAAAAACCTCAAAGTCCTGCTGGCAGAGACCTCGTCGATCAGCAGGCTCCCCTGCAGTGAGCGTGCCGCAGAGCTGCTCTGCACACTGAGCCCTTCCGGGCCTCGGCACAGCAACTCTGCCTGACAACGCTGCCATGCGGCCGCTGACATCACAATAGCAGTGCCCTGGGCTGCTTTGTGAGTTCATGCACAGAACCACACCTTCTCTACAGATGATGCCAAAAAAAGCCTGCAGCGTTCTCCTCTGCTACAAAGCCACACAAAAAGCCCTCCTAGTCCATCACCTGTTGCTCAAGGCATCTAAGAGTAAAAACACACTAAGCCCCTCTAGCCCACACTGAGAAGCTGAGCACTGAGAAGGGAGCAGGATGTGAGGAACCACATTAGTGCTCTTTGGCCACTATTGCTTCTGACCAAAAACCAGAAGGCTTCTTCCAGCGGGACCTCCCTTAGTTCTAGAAAGCAGCAAACTATCAGAACCCAGGAAATTCCTCTGCCTGCCCTGGAGGGCTCAAGCCGCTGCCCGGGGGCTCAGAGACTTTGGCACAGAGCCCAAGATGCCTGTGCCTTTGATTTAGCCCTTGGAAAAAACAATCACCAATCTTAATATGAAGAATTACAAGTCAAAAGAGTTTAAGTAGAATAATAGGTAGTTTGTCACCAGGTGAAAAATAGATTTTTGAGGTTTTGAAAATGACAGCTCGGGGGTCTCAAGATGGAGGAATTTGGATGTGCCTTGTCCTTTTTCCTCCTTCTTCCTAGCCACCATCTTCTGAGTGATGTTGGCACTTTTAGATTGGTTTAGAGGAGAAGTTCACTGTCTCACATAGGTGATAGGTATTGGGAAGTTATTGTAAATAGTGTACACATAGTTTTGGGTATAAAAAGACAACACTGCCTCTGAGGTGGGCAGTGTGCCTCAACCCAAGCTGCTAGACAGACCTTGGCACGTTGGAGAAAGAATATTATAGATAAGAAACAATAAACAACCTTGAGACCAAGAACAGAAGAGTTCCCACTCCTTCTTCAACTGCCGGGCTGGGGAAAGAGACTTTCTAACGCATCTCAGGGTCACTCTGACCAGCAGAGATTGCAAGAGCAAACAGGGAGAAGCACGACTTCAATGACATTTAGAGTTTCCTCCTAGGTACAGAGACAAGGCCATGTGTCTTTCAGCACTATTTATTCAAAGCATTTTACATCACAGCCGTGGCTGTGATTTCAGCAGGGAAACGCCATGACAGGAAATGCAAGGAGGATCCTTCTCTCTGACTCACTCTAGCAGTGAGGCCTTGGCACCAAAGCACCACCACCATTTTTCCCCCCACTTTTGTCCTTCCTCAGTAATTTTTTGGACACAGGGCTGAGATGGGTGGCACTGAAATGACAGCTCTGACACACAGCTGAAACCATCAGGGCCGGGGGGGGCATGTGGGACTGTTTTTCTTCTCCAGCAGAACAAGGCAAGCCAGAGTGCTGACACTGATACCAAGTGAGTTCAGCCAAGCCCAAAGGGAGTGCAGCCAAGCCAAGTGCAGCCCAGCAGGCTGGTAGGAAGAGGCAGCGAAGCGGCAGATCCCATTGCCACGCACACGCCCGGCGTGGCGGACTGATGGCAGCGGCAGTGCCAAACAGAGCTCCGCAGGGAGAGACAGACACCCATCACCATCGCCACTGCCACCAGCACTGCCGCAGAGAGGGAGCAGCAAACTGCCACTGCAGGGCCAGAGCTGCTCCCGGCAGCACCAGCAGCCCCCATCTACCATCAGAACCATGCTGGAAGCCCTGGCCATCCTGTCTTTGCTCCAGGGGCCCCGTGTGACACTGCACCTTTCTTGCTTAAGCCATTACCTCTTTCGCACAATTTTCTTCCTATTGTCGTCTACTGCTTTTTTTCCCCCCTCCCCCCACTACATTATAACTCTAACATTCTCAGCTTCTCATAGATTGGTTTTTCCATTGTCCCCCTCCATTGTGGTGGAGAAGGGGAGAGAGGAGAGGCTTTCCCAGGACTATCTCAAGAAGAGGACATAGAAAGGAGGGAAGGCCTTAGAAAGAAAAAACAACGCTCAGGATGCCTCTTTGGGAGGGAAGCAAATGTGCAAGCTTCTTAATATCCAGCCACAAATCTCTGGAGTCTTGACAGCCAAGAAGCACAGGAACCTGGAAACCTTGTTGTGAGACACTGGAGGACATTGCTGGCTCAAGCCCTTTCAGGCGCTTGTAGGTGGGGAAAGGGGCAGATCAAGCCTTGCTCTGCTGAGGCCCTGCCCTACTCTGCACACCCCACACCCCCAGGCCTGCATCCCAGCCCAGCTGTGGCCGCTGATCCCTGGCACACCAGAGGCAAGGCTCCACACCTGTGTCTGGAGCCCCTAACCCAGCTCCTAAATGGCCAGGTGAGTGGGAGCCCCATGTGGGGGAAGGCCCCAGGAAAGCCAAAGGCTATTTACCTCGGGATGTGTGGCCACCACATCTCTTGACCCTACCTCCTCTTGGTCTCATTTGCAAGCTGAGCTTCCTATCCCCTTTCAAAGCCTTTCACAGTCTAGTGCTCTGTCAACAGTGCCTCAGTTCCATGGTGGGAATTCTGAAGTCCTTTCCGAGAAGCCTTGCCTGAAAGAGAACAGGTCTGGCTTGCAGTGCATTGCTCTGGAGGCCTTAGGAAGTTGCTTTGCCAGCCCTTACCCACTTACTGGCCAAAAAACACATGTGAAAGACTGAAGCTTTGCCAGCTGTGACAGTGGCCCAAAGAGAAGGCAGTTAGGGGCAAAATAAGGAGAATTATTTTGGTGCTGGCACACACATCAGGTACCAGGTGGGTGAGAAAAGCCATCTGTAAATAGCTCAGCTGACAATCAGGGAGGGGAAGGTGCAAAGAAAAGCAGAGGTAGAAATCTCAAAGGAATGAGAGGACTATGTCCAGAAGTTGAAACTAGCCAAAAGAAAAAACACAAAAAAAAAAGAGTAATTGGATGAAATACTGATAAAATTCAGCAAGTCTTCTCTTGGTGCTGGATGGTGCATTGGGGGATAGTGTTGGCAGCTTGGGTGCCCATCCCAAAGCCATCACCTGTTTTCCCTGTGCCCTGACGGGTTCAGACAGGCTGTTGATCTGCATGGCCACTCCCAGTTGGCCCCAGAGTCCTCTCCACTTCATGATCAGCTCACCATAAGTTTTCTGGCTGTCATCCGTTGTGGCTTCTCTTCTCCTGAGGCTTGGTGTTGGTCATTGTTGTCTGATGTGTGGCTGTGTGGTCATTTTTGGCCCGTGCCCTCCAGGACAAACCCCCACACTCCCCCTTTTTTGTTTTATTTAAAATGAAAGGTATAACAATCATAGTAAAAATAATATCTTCTTATACCTAAAACCAACACAATACTTAGTAGATTTTAACTAAACTTGGGAATTAAAATGAACAGGTGGGTTGATATTGCAGACATAAGCAAACAATAAGAAAATACAATTTTCATTTTCCCTCACTTCTCGGGCCCTGACTCCCAGATGGCTCCCCACCACTTCATTCCCTTTCACTTACCCACAAAACAAAAGAGAACAGAAAATCAAAGCCAAAAGACTTATGGTGGAACCTTTCCCGCGTGGCCTTCAGCAAACACACATGTCAAAAGAAAAGGTTTCATGGGGGACTAGAATGGGGGAACGTTCCGGTGGTGCAGGGCACAGAACTCCTGTGGGGGCAACAGAGTCGGTCCTCCAGCTGTTTTATTCTCAACTTCTATTGTAGCGCTGATCTCTGACGTATGTATTGCAGCAAAAATGGGGGACTGCTAATACAAGAGGAAAGTGCGGGCAGGGTTGAGGGCAGTCAGAAAGTGGGTTAGGGTAGAATCCAGGACACCATGGCCGGTGCTGTCCTGGCAAGGGGTCAGAAGAGGAGGGGAGATGGCAGATGGCTGGTGGCTCGCCTGTGCTCTTGAGCAGGTTCCATCTCCCGGCCTGTCCTTCCCAGGGATCGTGGTTTCAGGGAAGCGGGGGCGGAACACGAAAACTGAGAAAGGAAGTCTATCAAATATTGTGCAACTAAAATTTAAATTTAAATGGTAGTCAAATATACCGTCAGTTACCACCAAACATAGCAAAGTGAATGATTTTCAATAATCACGGTATCAAATGTATATTGAAACGATAAACAGGAGACCATGGGAGAGGTTAAAGTCTAGGGGACATTCTTCCAGGCCACAGCCCCAGGAAGTGCCCTAGCAGGCCCACAGGCCTCCACAGTGGCTCAGGCAGGTCCCAACTGCACAAGTTTTCGCTCCCTCATGTTGGCCTTGGTTCCCGTGGCAGAACTTGCCTTCCCGCTGGACACTCACCTGCGCCTGAGCCCCTGGAGAAGCCCGGCTCCCTCCCCCTCTGCCCACAGCCACAGCAGCCTCCTCAGCAGTGACACCACTGCTCTGCTCCATTCTGCCCTACTCTGCTCCTCTAGCCACAGCTGCAATGCCTCTATCTCCACAAGAGCTTGTGGCCTGTAGGCACTGAAGGAAGAAGACCTTTGCACGCTTCCAAACCATGCCGCAAATCCCATCCATGTGTCTTCCCACATCGAAGAAACACCTGAGCATTCAGAAGCAAATTTAGAGCTTATTCACAGGGTGAGAACAAAGGGAAGCTTCCAGCACAGTGAAGGTTTTATTTCTTATAGTATTTATTTTGCCTATTCGAATAAAGAGACTACGAACTATGACCTAGAAACTAGAAACTTCAAACTACGAGCTATAATCTACAAACTACAAACTACAAAGTGCAAATAATAACAATGGCCTCTTCCAGGGCTAGTATCTCCTGCTGGCCATAAACTGCTGCGTGGCCATGATCAGAGGCGTCAGCTCGGAGGTCGGCTTGGCTGATGTTACAAACGGATGCTGCCCAAAGAGAAAAAGAAAAACATGAACTTGTACTTTCCTCACAGGCTGAAACAGGCTTTCTCTGGCTACCAGAAAGATACCGAAAGAAGAAAAGGAGGGCATTCTGGGCACCACTGTCTCCACATCCAGGACCTTGCTACATGAGGCAAAATGGCTCCCAATCCCACAAATCCGTGACTCCAGATGTCTTCAGCTTAAGGAGATTTGGTCTAGGTGACCTTGAAAGGCTCCTTCCAAGGCATCCTAGGCCAGGATTCTCCTTTGTTTTCCTTTGCAAGCCCCCAGAGGGGAGATTCTTAGGAGCGGGCCCCATCAGACGCCTTGGACTTGAGCAGATGAGGAGCCCCTGGCAGCGGGCAGCTGGCGCAGCCTGCAGCCGCTTTGCCTTTTACCTGCAGCAGTTCCTGGGCAGACCAGCGCCTGTCCTCGTCCCTCTCCAGGCAGCAGTGCAGAAAGTCTCGCAACCACGCCGACTGCTGCCTGGGCTTCTGCAGCTTTGGCCTGCCCCCGCTGCTGATCAGCTCTTGAACCTAGAGAAGAAGGAAATGCCACGCTCTACCTGTCTCCTTCGCACCCCAAACTGCTCACACACACCCCACGGGACAGGCTCCACTCTCCCGTGGCACTTTACTCCCTGCCAGAGCCTGGCAGATACCTTTCCTACCCCTACTGAAAGAACACAAAGCCACAGGCAGCCATAGCCAGTCCAATAGGCAAAGGCTCTTGCCTTCACCCCTGATTTCACTGGCTGATGGGGACTAAAAGCCCAGCTTTGCCCTTTTGTCAAAGCTTCCCTCAAGCAAAAGGCATCACCATTTTTTGTGCGGTTCGTGCACTGAAATGGCAAGGGGACAATCTGGACAAGGAGCACGAGAGACTATGCAGCCTGGCACCTCTCATTTCCAGGTGTTAGCAAGCTTGCCAGGCAGAAGAATGGGAGCAGATTGTGTTTGGGTGACAGCAGTATCTGAGAGCAGTTGCAGCGCACCGTGCGGGAGGTTTTCATCCGGTAAGGAGGCGCCCCTTCCACCATCTCGATCCCCACAATGCCAAAGGACCAGATGTCCACTTTGGGGCCATAGAGCTTCCTGGTGAAGATTTCTGGCGCCATCCAGTAAGTGGTCCCAACAGCTGATCTCCGTTTGCTCTGCTCAGCGGTCAGCTGAGCAGCAAGGCCAAAATCAGCTGAGGAGAAAAAAGAGGCCAGCGTGAATGAGGAAAGCAAAGCAAAGAAATCCCCACTGTACCAATGTCCAAGAGGGCAGCGTGGAACCCGGCTGCCATCAAGGGGCCATGCTGCCATTCCTCTGGCCTGCAGCCGAGGAAATACGGAATTGGCCACTTAGCAAAAGCCCCAGCTTTCAGGCAGTGGCTTTTAGTGCCCTGAAGCTATTAGACTGTAAGTGCCTTGCTTGGGAAGGGACACACGCACAAGCCAAAGGCACTCCTGAGCCCTTGTTCCCAGCAACACCTCCCTGCACCTTGGGGCTGTGCTCTGCACTTGTATCAGGGCAGCCTGGACTGCCACAGGCACCACTGCAGGGAACCGGCAGTCACCCAAAGGCAGCCCCACACCGCAGCCTGCCGCGGCTGAGCCTGGCCAACAACACCCACCCAACTTGACGGATCCGTCCAGACCCAGGAGAATGTTGTGGCTTTTGACGTCTCGGTGGATCACTTGCTTGGAGTGAAGGAAATCCAGGCCTTGCAGGCACTGAGAGAGGAAAAAGAAACACCAGCCTAAGTGGATTTCATCCCACAAGCGGGGAAGTGGCACATCTGCAACACTGCAACATTCCTGGGCCATGCTGAGCCATGGCACGACAGGCTGCTGGCAAGGGCAAGAGCTTGCTGCTCCAACACAAGGACAGCAGTGCCTTTCTAAGTGAGGGTGTGTGTGCTTCTGAAAGAGAAAGGACAATTGTTCCTCCGGCCACTGCCCTGCAACCACAGACTGAAGCAGCACTGCTGCAGTGGCTGTGCTCTCTCCAGCCAGACAAGAGTGGATGCTTTTGCAAACACCCCTTTGGTGCAAGGCTCTCTTGGAGGCTGAGCTCCATGACAGCCCAGTGTGTATCTTTGTCTGTGCCACTTATTTTACATTGTGCCACCAGCAACTTTGCCCGTCCAGGGAAGGAATGCAGCACACACAGGCTCCAGGCAAGTGTTTAGAGAAGCAAACACAAACACACTAGAAGAAGGGCAGGGACACTGGCAGGCACTTCAGATGCTCTTGCTACTGCCAGTCATAAGAGAAAGGCAGCAAGGAGGCTCAGAGGATGAAATCTCTCCTCTCCTTGTCACCCATTTGGAAGGACCATCCCGACCAAGGCATGGGAAGCACAGGCACTATCCCTTACCTCCCGAGAGACAGCTGCTATCTCTCCTTCTGCCAGACGAGTCTCCCTGATGACATCGTGTAAGGAACCTCCGTCCATGTATTCCATCACGAGCCAGAGTTCCTCGTCCAGCAGGTAGCTGAAAGGAGGAAACAACAGCCTGGAGATGAAGGCGTGCACTCACACCACCTGCTGGATTCTTGTTTCTGTGTCTCTCTCAGAGGAAGACAGGAGGAAGTGAGCAGTCATTCACTATGCTCTACAGGCCTTGAACTCTGGGCAGTCTAAAACACTGCTTGCTATCCACACCAACGAACAGGCCAAGGGAAATACAATCTGCAGTGCTCTGGCAGCACTTCAGACCCATGGGGAAAAAATCCAACCCCAAAGCCAACAAATCCATGGGGAGAGAGCACAGGAACTTTGAGGCTGTTGGCTCAGTAAGATAGGGCCAAGTCCCGCCTTTGAAAGCGCCCTTCAAACTCGGTATGCCAGGAAAGAGTAATGCAGCCCCAATGCAATCTCCTCCCAAGACACTGTAGATCAGCCCAGAAACAGGAATGAACAGCTCCATCCTCTGCCATCCACCAAAGGAGTGCTTGAACCTCTGGCTTGCAGGATGTGAATGACCTTTCACAGCAGAACAGCAGAACCACTCACCTGTCTACATAGTTGACAAGGTTGGCGTGCTTATTGCCACGCATGACCTGGATTTCATTCAGGCACAGTTCGCTGCCGCTCTCTTGCAGGAGACTAATTTTCTTTATGGCCACCTAAAACGACATGGAAAACCATGAACCAAAGAAGTCTGTGGCACAGGACCACAAGGGCAACATGGAGACAGTGATTATGGGATGATAGTGCTGGGCTGGGCCAAGCTGCCTTGTGACAGGACATCAGACCGCCTGCTCGGGCACCTCCCAGGACACAGAGCCACATAGCCTCTGCCTTGGAAACCTGGCAGAAACACGCTCTAAGCTCTCCACCTCAGAGGTCTAACAACACTCACTGTGCCCAGGGCCAGTCTTCTCCCATGGCCTTACTTTATCATCCCCATGCTCATTCACACACCTCTTGCAAGCAGGAAGCCATTTTGTGCCAGTAAAAATGGAGCAAAACTGCTGGGAAACCATTGGCACTTCTAGGGGATTGGATCATTACTCCAGCAGTCACTGGCATTCTCCATTGCACAACAACACAGCAAACAGTTAGAGATGTGGCAGTTAAAATGATGTCCTAAAAACATCCTGAGGGCTATTCCTCCTAAGATATACAACCCTACATACTTCACAATGAAAAAATGCCACAATGATGAAAACATCATTAAGGACACCTCCAAAAACCACAATCCTAGCATTTCCTCACTCCAGGAATTTTCATTTTGCTCCACTCAAATACTTTTCTTCACACCACTGACTTTTGCAATTACTGCCTGACTGTAAAACGAAATAACCCAGGCCATGATCTTCTAGGGATATACACCGGGCTATGGGCAGGGCTTAGGCCTTTGAGAGACTCCTTGCAGACCACTCTGTCTAAGCACAGTTCCAAGGGCAGCACTGCAGGTGCCTACAGAACTATCAGCACGATTCCCATCTATTTGCTAACAGCCAGAAAAGAGAACTCAGGAACCCTGCAGCCCCAAAGAGCAGTGCCATGCTCTGAGACACCACCTGGGCACTAAGACCCAGCCAGCGTGTCCTCCTCTGGCCTCCTTGAATCCCCTGGGCAGCTGAGAAGGACAAAATCTGTCCCCACTGTATTTGGCAGGGCGGACACTGCTCTGCACTTCATCTGCCTTTGCAGCAAAGCTCTCCTGGCCACCCAAAGCTCAGCCACAGCTCACAGCAGAGGGGAGGGCACTCGAGAGCTGCAGAAGCTGCGGCGCTGCTTGGCGCTTACCTCTTCTCCTGTGGCAGTCTCCACTGCCATGCACACCGTGCCGAAACCCCTAGAAACAAAACAGCAGCGGAGAAAGAAGAAGTCCTTTAGTCCCTGCCACTGCAAGACACTGCAGTCCAATGGCAAATAAGTCCTGGGGCAAACAGTAAATGGAATAGGACAGATTCTCGTCTGGGTCTTTCCCCCCTTTTCTCTTTCTGTATCTGTACATGTGTGGGATTTTTCCAGGAACTTGCCAGTTGGGCCTTCTCCCACTTCTCCCTGGAGCCTGTCTGCCAAACTCAAGCACCACTACCGAGGCCTTCTGAGAAGCCTGAGGCCACGGAGCAGCCATTGCAGGAAAGCCTCCAGACACAGATCCCTTCTCCAGCTTGCAAGGAAGTTAGTGCCCAGCCATAGCTGCAGCCACAGCCAGAGCAGGGAAAGGCTTCCATTGCTGCACACACAAATGGAGAAGTCCTCAAAACACAGGATCCTTGGACACCAGCGTTCTGAGTCCAGAGCTGTTGTCAGCTGCTTCTCTTCGGTGCACCAGACACCTGGAGGACTCTGCTTTTCTGGAGACTTCTTGTACATTTGGCTTCTCACAGGGAAAATGTTGCAAATCAGTCCCATTTCCAGTCAGCAGAGCCGGCTTTCAAAGGGAACAGCTTGGTGGATCCTTTGCAGGAAAGGCCTAAACCCCACAGGATCCACCAGGGTTCTGCCATCAGCCAGATGATGCCTTTTCCTCTGGAGTGCATTGGCACTGGCCATTGCCCTGAAGCTTTGTCTTTTGCCACCTCAGCTACAAAAGAGAGCTGCTTCTTTCATTTCTGCTTTTGGCTGCTAGGCTAGGTGGTGGTCATCCAGACCACTGAATCTTGCTTTCAGCAAAATACTGGAAAGAAATGTTACCCAGAGCTGTTCCCTGACAGCTGTCAGCTGCTGACTTGACCTCTGAGGCAACAAAGTTTCTCCTCCTTTCATTCCCACGCATTCTGTATTCTTTTGAGACATGCAAAAATGCTTTCTCCTAGGAAGAGCGGCAATCAGGTGCAACAGACTTGAGGGAATGGAGATCTGCCAGGTGCTGCTCTTTGCCGCAGAAAAGACATTGCCAGCGTCCAGGTGTCTTTGCCGCCCTGCCTTCGGACCACAGCTGTAAATGCTGACCAGTACTGAGAGATCATCAGGCATCATCCTAACGCAGTGTCTGAACAGCTTTGGAGCTTGCCTGACGTCGCTCTGGGGAGATGTGACACCAGCAAAATGCACAGGCCCTGCCTTTGAAGAAGGAACTACGGCTGCACTCACCCTTTGCCAATGGTTTCCAGCTCTGTGTATTCAGCCTCAGGATCTCCCTCGCTCACCAGCATCTCTGTAAAAATCCCAAGGAAAGATGCTCACTTCAAAAGAGATCCCACCCTGCAGCAGATCAGAAAGGCAGCCCCACTCTCTGCCACTCTGGGCCCTTTCAACTCAGGCAGTCGGCCAACAACAACACCCCCGCACCACCACCACCACCACCTCAGAAACAACAGCAGCAAGACGAGCAGCCCTGCAGCACAGATGGCCTGCACCAAACTAGACGTCTAAACTAAAATCTAAGCACGTGCAGAAACAGTCAGAGGATGCAGGGATCAGAAAGCTGTAACCAAGAGAACTGGTTGTTGTCTAGAAATGTTAAGGGCAGCAGGAATAACAAAACCTTGCTGGTCTTGGCAATCAACACTCTGTGACCTTCAAGCAAAGCTTTAATCCTTGCAAACATCAAAGGCATCTTGGCTCCTGGAATCAATTGTTCTCAACAGCTGCCCTTTGCAGGACAGCAAGAATATTGCAAAGTGCTTCCAGCAGAAGCACAATCTGCAGCTTTGAGCAGGACAATTTTGCCTAAACAATGGCCTTCTGCCTTTCAGGAGCAGCAGCTCATGTTCCAACCTACTGTGCTGGGCCTTAGGAATGAGGTGCCTCAGCCTTTAGGACAGGCCGAGTTCTGAAGATGACCTTGGCCGTGCCCCACAGGAGCTCCTTGAGGCCTACTCATTGGCTGGGTCACGGCCTCCTGCTCAGCCAGAAACAATCTCTGGTTTGCCTTTTGCCTCCAGGGGGGCTCAGGCAAAGCCAAGCCAGGCTGAGCTGCTCTCAGAGGCAGGAGCAACACCCCGGTGACCCCTCACCACCTCAAAGCACAGCAACAGGTCCTGTGTGGAGGCCTCAGGAGCTGGCACTCAGCTGAGGAGGAACAGGAGCTGGGACAGCTCATGCCGACACACGCACACACAGGGCACTGCTCCAGCAGACAAGGATCACAAAGGACGTACTCAGCATGGCCAGGCACTTGTCCTCTGTCCTCTCTCCCAGCTGCTCTCTGCTGCCAGAGGAGCTACTGGTGCTCCAGATGCACGAGCTGCTCCCGCTGCACTTGCCAGCTTGGGGACTGGAGGCTCCTTCAGAGCCTTCTGCTGCAGCTCCTGCAGGTGCCAGGACAGAGGAGGTGGAGCTCTGGGAAAAGAAATGAGTGAGGTCACAAATGTGCCTGGCAGAGGTGCCCCTGCCATCCCATTTCAAATGCAAGCCCCCGGGAAGATGCTGCTGGCCACAGCCAGGGCTCTTCACCTCTCAGCTTTTGCAGCCCGCTTCTCCAGCTCAAGGCCCAAAATCCAAAGGCTGCTTTTACACCACGGACAAAATGACACCACACTCACTGCTAACCAAAGCAGGCACTTACTGATGATGTTTGCTCTGGGCCTGGGCTGACAGCAGGAGCAGGTTCATGAGCACCTTCCTCCTCTTCAGCCTCTTCCTTGCGTGCAGAGGCAGCCAGAGCAGGTGCTGACGCTGCCCTTCTGCTCTGGGGACACACAGCAGCATGAGGGACAGGAAAGAACCTGGCATTCACCACCTCACCTATATTCAGCTACAGGCCCCGCTGCATCTCAGCTGTTCCTTTCGCTACTGACAGCTGCTCTCTGCGCAGGGCCAGGTCCCTCCTGGGGACAGTGTCTCCTCATATCCTGCAAGCTTCTGAACTGCACCTTTGCACTGCTCTCTTCACTGGGGACAGGGAGCCTGCACAGCCACTGGCCACCAAGGGCCTCACTTGTACCCCAGCAGCATGCCAAGACATCCTAATGCTACCTCCTGTCTCTTGCTAAGACAAATTCACAGCCCCTTTCAGAACAGTAGGAAGGTGATCCCTGAATTTCCAAGTTCCAGGCCTCACTGCCTGCGGGAAGGGCAGGAAAGATTCCAGCCCTCAGCATCTTCAGCCAGGCACGGGAGGTGCTGTCTGATCAGAAACTTGCAGCTATGCTTTGCTCCAGCCACAGGACTGCCCAGAGCTGCCACTTACTGATGCTGCATGCTCAGGCCCTGCAGTGGCAGCAGGTACACTTTGCTGGGCATCTTCCTCCCCTTGGGCCTCTTCTTCAGGAAGACACACAGCCACTGGAGGCTCCGAGGTTCCCTTTGGGCTCTGCAGACAGACAGCAGCGTCAGGGACACGTAACCTCCTTTATATTCAGCTCTAGACCCAGATGCACTCAGGAGAAAGCATCTGCAGAGAAATGGGATTCTAAGGTGCTCAGATTCAAGTAAAATGGGCCAGCTGGATTGGACTGCGCTCTCTTGTACAGGAGAAATTCCATCATGGCAGCCACCACTTTCAGCTGCTTAAAAGTTCTGGAAAGGAACGGGAGAAAACAGCCCTGGGTCCTCCTGCTGCTGCTGTTGCTGCAAAGGGCCTGGGCTGTACTTTCATTCATCCAGCCAGGCTGGCACCGGACTGCAACAGGCCCAGCTCACAGCTTGCTCCGCAATTGCCAAATGCTACCAAGGCCAGAGGCTCCTTTGCCACTCACCCAAAGAGCAGATTCTCTCCAGGCACGGCTGATGTGACCTGCAACACACAAGGGAAAAAGAACCAGATGCTCTAAGAAAACTGCCTGTGCTGGCCATGCCCACCCCAAAGTCAACCCAAAGACAGAGCATTCTGCTTTCACTACACCACTCCAGCAGCATCCCTTGTGGCACACAGCAAGCAAGACAACAGCAGCACAACATACTGCCTGGTGTCTACCTTTTCTCCTCTTTGGCCCCTCAACCCATAGAAACTTGAGACTGAGAAAGTCTACAAGTGGTTCTCTAACAGTCATTGCTTCTGCCCCACCTCACCCAGCAGCCCCTACAGCTCCTGTAGGCGCTCTTTCCTGTTATTCCTCCTCTCTTTCCTGTATTTCAGTCTTCTCAAGACATTGCATGCAGCAATTGCCATGAGCTTACTGAAAACCTTTCCCCAGGGAGGCTTCACCCAAGTCCCTCTGAGCCATGGTGGCAGTTCTATCATGACACAGCACAGGAACAGCTCCTGTGTGTGGGAGCATACAAGAACTCCTCAGAAATGGCTGTCTCAGAGGCCTTTACCAAGCGCATTCTGTGATTTCATCACAGAACAAATGGCTCTTTTAGCGCGCAGGAAGTGTCAAGTTCCACAGGCAAATGCTGGGATGAGGGAATGCAGACAAGAAGCCTTGAACTGAGGGACTTTGCCTCAGTCCTGGAGAGCAGTGCACAGCTTTTACAAGGACTCCTGCCAAGCTCTCTCTTCCAGTCTTCCCATCCTGGAAGTTGTCTTGCTTGAGCCAGCAAACTGAGGAGACTCCAGACTCCATTGCCACAGGCCGTGGCACGGCAGGAGCGGAATCCCCGCAGGCTACATCACAAATGCTGCCCACGCCCCACTGGCTAGAGACACGCCCTTCTTAGCTGGAGCTGTGGGCACGGGCATTACCCAGCTGAAGGCCTCTTTGTGGCATTTGGGTTTCCATATGCTGCACTGAAGAAAAATGTCTACTTACGTGCCAGGTGGGTGAAAAAGTAGCCGGAATAAGCCACGGTAAAAGCCGTGAAAGCTGCAGCACACACTCCCTCCATGGCTGGAGCAGTGCTGCTCAATCTGCAAGGGACAAAGGCTGTAGGGAGAAACCAAAAACCTCAAAGTCCTGCTGGCAGAGACCTCGTCGATCAGCAGGCTCCCCTGCAGTGAGCGTGCCGCAGAGCTGCTCTGCACACTGAGCCCTTCCGGGCCTCGGCACAGCAACTCTGCCTGACAACGCTGCCATGCGGCCGCTGACATCACAATAGCAGTGCCCTGGGCTGCTTTGTGAGTTCATGCACAGAACCACACCTTCTCTACAGATAATGCCAAAAAAAGCCTGCAGCTTTCTCCTCTGCTACAAAGCCACACAGAAAGCCCTCCTAGTCCATCACCTGTTGCTCAAGGCATCTAAGAGTAAAAACACACTAAGCCCCTCTAGCCCACACTTAGAAGCTGAGCACTGAGAAGCGAACAGGATGTGAGGAACCACATTAGTGCTCTTTGGCCACTATTGCTTCTGAGCAAAAACCAGAAGGCTTCTTCCAGCGGGACCTCCCTTAGTTCCAGAAAGCAGCAAACTATCAGAACCCAGGAAATTCCTCTGGCTGCCCTGGAGGGCTCAAGCCGCTGCCCGGGGGCTCAGAGACTTTGGCACAGAGCCCAAGACGCCTGTGCCTTTGATTTAGCCCTTGGAAAAAACAATCACCAATCATGATATGAAGAATTACAAGTCAAAAGAGTTTAAGTAGAATAATAGGTAGTTTGTCACCAGGTGAAAAATAGATTTTTGAGGTTTTGAAAATGACAGCTCGGGGATCTCAAGATGGAGGAATTTGGATGTGTGCCTTGTCCTTTTTCCTCCTTCTTCCTAGCCTCCATCTTCTGGGTGACGTTGGCACTTTTAGATTGGTTTAGAGGAGAAGCTCACTATCTAACATAGGTGATAGGTATTGGGATGTTATTGTAAATAGTGTACACATAGATTTTAGTAGAAAAAGACAACACTGCCTCTGAGGTGGGCAGTGTGCCTCAACCCAAGCTGCTAGACAGACCTTGGCACGTTGGAGAAAGAATATTATAGATAAGAAACAATAAACAACCTTGAGACCAAGAACAGAAGAGTTCCCACTCCTTCTTCAACTGCCGGGCTGGGGAAAGAGACTTTCTAACGCATCTCAGGGTCACTCTGACCAGCAGAGATTGCAAGAGCAAACAGGGAGAAGCACGACTTCAATGACATTTAGAGTTTCCTCCTAGGTACAGAGACAAGGCCATGTGTCTTTCAGCACTATTTATTCAAAGCATTTTACATCACAGCCGTGGCTGTGATTTCAGCAGGGAAACGCCATGACAGGAAATGCAAGGAGGATCCTTCTCTCTGACTCACTCTAGCAGAGAGGCCTTGGCACCAAAGCACCACCACCATTTTTCCCCCCACTTTTGTCCTTCCTCAGTAATTTTTAGGACACAGGGCTGAGATGGGTGGCACTGAAATGACAGCTCTGACACACAGCTGAAACCATCAGGGCCAGGGGGGCATGTGGGACTGTTTTTCTTCTCCAGCAGAACAAGGCAAGCCAGAGTGCTGACACTGATACCAAGTGAGTTCAGCCAAGCCCAAAGGGAGTGCAGCCAAGCCAAGTGCAGCCCAGCAGGCTGGTAGGAAGAGGCAGCAAAGCGGCAGATCCCATTGCCACGGACACGCCCGGCGTGGCGGACTGATGGCAGCGGCAGTGCCAAACAGAGCTCCGCAGGGAGAGACAGACACCCATCACCATCGCCACTGCCACCAGCACTGCCGCAGAGAGGGAGCAGCAAACTGCCACTGCAGGGCCAGAGCTGCTCCCGGCAGCACCAGCAGCCCCCATCTACCATCAGAACCATGCTGGAAGCCCTGGCCATCCTGTCTTTGCTCCAGGGGCCCCGTGTGACACTGCACCTCTCTTGCTTAAGCCATTACCTCTTTCGCACAATTTTCTTCCTATTGTCGTCTACTGCTTTTTTTTTTTTTTTTTTTCCCTCGCTACCTTATAACTCTAACATTCTCAGCTTCTCATAGATTGGTTTTTCCATTGTCCCCCTCCCTTGTGGTGGAGAAGGGGAGAGAGGAGAGGCTTTCCCAGGACTATCTCAAGATGAGGACATAGAAAGGAGGGAAGGCCTTAGAAAGAAAAAACAACACTCAGGATGCCTCTTTGGGAGGGAAGCAAATGTGCAAGCTTCTTAATATCCAGCCACAAATCTCTGGAGTCTTGACAGCCAAGAAGCACAGGAACCTGGAAACCTTGTTGTGAGACACTGGAGGACATTGCTGGCTCAAGCCCTTTCAGGCGCTTGTAGGTGGGGAAAGGGGCAGATCAAGCCTTGCTCTGCTGAGGCCATGCCCTACTCTGCACACCCCACACCCCCAGGCCTGCATCCCAGCCCAGCTGTGGCCGCTGATCCCTGGCACACCAAAGGCTCCACACCTGTGTCTGGAGCCCCTAACCCAGCTCCTAAATGGCCAGGTGAGTGGCAGCCCCATGTGGGGGAAGGCCCCAGGAAAGCCAAAGGCTATTTACCTCGGGATGTGTGGCCACCACATCTCTTGACCCTCCCTCCTCTTGGAATTTCTATCAGCTGAACACCACTGGAACCAGGAGTGGTAGCTTGTTCTGGTTTTTCTATGTTTGTTCAGTTCTCCCCCCGTTGTTGTTTTGGTTCTGCCCGAAGGTTCCAGTAAGTGTCAGTCTCTGTACCCCTCCCATGTTGTCCTGGTTACCTCAATGTATCTCGCTTGTTCCCCTCCCCTGGCCGCCTGCCTGTCATCCAGCACCCCTGCCTCTTTTTCCAGAAGCTTCTGGCTGGGGTGTTGGGTGATTGGTTCAGGGGCCAGGGCCCCACCCGCAACTGTCTCCCGTTGGTTGTTTACTGTTGTCAATCTTTGATGTATCTTTTGTACCCCTCTTCTGATTTGTCGTTCCCAACCCCGCCTATTCCCTATAAAACCTGAGGCTTTTCCCTGCCTCGGTGCTCAGACTTCAGCTCCCCAACCCACCACCACCCCTTCCGATAAAACCTCCTACCCCCAGAAGATCTGAGTCGCCCTTTCTTCCGCACCCTGCAGCTTTGGAGTTTCTACCCATGGCCACTTGCCCTAAAGCATAACACCGCTTGAGCACAGGGCCTGGGTTTCGCACCTGAGCAGTGCTCGACTGGCTGGAGGTTGGCTGGACACTGCTTCCCTAGCCTGGGCATTCTTTATCATCCAGCCACTGCTCCAGTTCTGGCGCCCAATGTGGGGCCCCTCTCCAGACAGCTCCTGACCGGCGTTGGGGTCAGTAGAGCTCGGAAGATCAGTGGCGCACGGACCCCACGGGCAGGATTTTAAAATCCTCTGGACGCGGAACTACCCCGAGGTTGAGCAGACCTCACTCCTGAGGCAGCGCTCCCCGGGGTCCCCGGACGGCAGCTCCAGCACCCGGAGTCGTCCCTGCTGCAGGACCTTCTCCGCCCCGGTTTTCCGTTTGTCACCCCCCAGACTGGTGAGTGTTCCGTCGCTCTCCCTGTCGCCTTTCTTTCCCCCCGGTGTTTCGTCACCATCCCCTTAGTATCTAGACAGGGGCCGGTGGGTGGCACCCTTTTTCGCGTTTTTGTTTTCCTTAAGTGGTGCGGAGAGGCTTAGCTGCGGCTGCTGACTTTTACCATCTTACAGAGCTATGGGTGCGAAGCTCTCAGCAGCCCAGAAAGGGCTCTTTTTCCAAGTTGCGGGTGTCCTTGTTGGGGGGGGGGTTGTTCGTTTGATAAAAAAGAAGTTAAGAAGTTAATTAGATGGATCTCCTCTGAGTTCCCCAAGGTCTCCCCTGCCTTAATCAAAGATCCTGCCTTTTGGCGGAGAGTCTCTAAGAGACTCTCGGAGTTGGTCAGGTCAGGGGACGCCTCGCTCTCACAATTGGCATTTTTATCATCTCAAGTTAAAAACATTTTGAGAGCAAAAGGGGACTCAGAGAGACCAAGAGTTACGTTTAGTTGTAACCCCAGTTCAAGTTCGGCTCCCTCTACCCCTAACCCTCCTCCCCGTCACCCTAAAAGCAAGTCTGGGATTCTGAAAGGTGCAGCTCGCCCTTCCAGCCAGGCGCAGGGGATCCATTCGTCCCCTGGCCCCCTTCGGAATCCCCCGTCCCCCCGCCCTGGGAGTCCTGGCCAGACTCCTAGGGACTCCTCACCTTCTCCTGCTTCCCCTGTTCCCGTCCCGAAATCCCCAGTTGCTAAACCCCCTTGTTCGCAGTCCCCAGTTTCTAAGTCCCCATGTTCTTGTCCCCCAGTTGCAAAATCCCCGGTTTATCCCCGGTTGCCTCCAATGACTCAAAATGGCTCCCAGGGAGCCCAAGATGGAGGCGACCGCATGGCTGAGTTGGTGGGAAAACCCTCTTCTCCTTCTTCCCAGAATCCTTTCATACCAAATCCCAACCCCTTCCTGCCACTCAGCCACTCCCCATGTCCCGCCTCTTTGTCCTGCCCCTTTTCCAGTCCCTCCTCCTTCCCAGACCCCTCCTCAGTACCTCCCACTCCTCCTCCCACCTACCCACCCATCTCTCCTCCCCTGTTTCCCACCGTAGCTCCTCCCTCGGTCCCTCCCATACCACCTCCCATCATTCCACCCCCTGTTGCTCCACCCTCCGTCGATCATCATGCCCTGCCCCCTGACTCCGCCTCCTGGGAGGGTCCCTCAACATCGGACCTCCCTGCCCAGGTTCCCAGTCACGCCCCTGCCTCCCTCTCTTCCGGTTCCCATGCTCCTCCTTCCGGTTCCCACGCTTCGGGGTCCGGGGGGGGGGGGGGGGGTGGGGTGTCGAGAACCGGGGACCGGGGCCTGCTGCCATACCATCCGCAGCCCCGGTCATTTACCACCATGAGGGGGATGGTGGGGTGCGCCGACAATGGGTCCCCCTCAATCATTCGCAAATAAAAGAGCTGGTCAAAGCGCAAAAAGAATATGGCCGGGACAGCGAGTATTTCCAGGGAGTGTTGCAGGCGACACTCTCTGAGGCCGATGTCACCCCCTATGACATCCGGCGCCTCTTCAAGTGCCAGCTCAATCCTAGTGAGCGGGCCTTGTGGGAGGCGGCCTGGAAGAGGGGAGTGACAGAGGCTCTCCCGGGCCTGTGGGGTCAGCCCCATACTGGGGTAGACCTCATGGGCAATGTCCTGGCCATCGACCAGCTCTTGGGGACCGGGAACTGGGCAGATGGGTACTCGCAGGCGAGTACCATAACCCGGGAGGCACTCCAGGAGTCGGCTCGGGCGGCCAAGAAGGCCTTCCTGGCGCTGCTGGGGGTGGCCCCTCTTCTCCCTTTTGCTAGGATCTTCCAGGGCGCAGAGGAACCATTCCTCGATTTCGTGGAAAAGCTGAGAAAAGCGGTCGAGCAGCAAGTGGAGGATGAAGTGGCCCGGGAGCACATAATCAAGGAGGTGGCGGCATCCAATTGTAACAGCGTATGCAGAGACGCCATCTTCAGCCTCCCGGTGCACCCGCCCCCCTTGCTGCATGACTTGATCGAGGTCTGCGTCCGGAAGGTCCGAGTCGTACCATCTAGGGAGGGAGAGAGGAGGAAAACACCACCGCCCCGAGTCGGCGCTGCCACGGATCCAACGGAGGATGCCTTCATCGGAGCCGCCGGACGTTCATCCGCTCCTGGACCTTCTACCGCCAACGCCCCATGCCATCTATGTGGCAGACTCGGGCACTGGATGCCCGACTGCCCGCTGAGGCGGGAGTTTTATGAATTCAAGAGGGGACAGGGACAAAAGGGGGCAGTCCTGCCAAAAAACTAACATCACAGCGCAGCTCCCCCCTGTGCAAAGACAAAAATAAGGCGGGACAAATAACAGCATGCAGGGAGGGGAGGAATCGGGGACCGCCGTCCGCCGATTGTGACACTTGGAAACCGGATTTGACCACTACCTATGTTCCCAGGCCAACACCGACTCTAACCACCTTTTCTGCCTTTGGACCCTTCAGGTTGCAGCTGACGGAGCCTCTCCACCTTAAGGACTCCAATTTTCGACTTGTGTCAGTTGACCCGGAATGCCCAGGTAACTGGGGGCGGATAAGGTGTAAGTACGTCATTGTCGGGGACACAAAACACACACCACACGAGGTGAACATAATCCCGGGTCTCCTACCATCGGACCCGGGACGGTTCGCCGTGGGGCTGCACTGTGTCCAACCCCCCATTTTCCTGCCCAAAGGACAGGTGATCGCGCAAGCGATCCCTGTCCCTGAGATGACTTGGGCCATTGGACATCCACCATCTGAAGTCACCACTCCAACTGTCGCATGGGCCCAAGTCCTGGGGCGGGAAAGACCCCATCTTAGTTGTTACATCTCTAAAGGGGGAGAGGGCAAGCCTCTTCAGGGCTTGTTGGACACCGGGGCAGATGTGACGATCATTCCCTCCCGGGAATGGTCGTCACATTGGGAGTTGCAAAACGCACCAGGGCACGTTCGTGGTGTAGGGGGCTTGCAATTGGCAAGACAATCGAAGAGCGTTGTACAAATTACGGGGCCGGATGGGCAATTGGCTTCAGTGCGCCCATTCGTTTTAGACTATGCGGAACCCCTGTGGGGGAGAGACCTCTTGGCCCAATGGGGAGCCCGAATTGACCTCCCAGTGGCTCCCCAGGTTTTTCGGGCAGCGGCCACTGATGAGCGCCCTACCTGGAAGCTGAATTGGAAATCAGATAAACCAGTACAGGTAGTGCAGTGGCCGCTCAACAAACAAAAATTGGCGGCGCTCAACGAGCTCGTTAAGGAGCAGCTACTTAAGGGCAACCTGGTGGAGACCACGTCTCCGTGGAACTCCCCAGTGTTTGTAATCAAAAAGCCCAACAAAGACAAGTGGCGGCTCCTTCACGACCTCCGCCAAATTAATAACATCATTGAAGATATGGGGCCTCTCCAACCAGGGATGCCGTCCCCTACAATGCTCCCCCAAAATTGCAATTTGGCCGTGATTGATACAAAGGATTGTTTTTTCCAAATTCCTCTGCACCCGGACGATGCTCCGCGTTTCGCCTTCACGGTTCCCTCCATCAACCGTGAAGCCCCAAGTAAGCGCTACCACTGGCGGGTCCTTCCACAGGGCATGAAGAACAGCCCAGTGATCTGCCAATGGTACGTCGCTTCCTTGCTGTCCCCAATACGTGCAGCCACCAAAGACACAATCATATACCACTATATGGATGATATATTGGTGTGTGCCCTGACCAGCGACCTACTTACCCACGCGCTTGACTTGACAACCGATGCATTGATTGGTGCAGGGTTCGAGCTTCAGCACGAAAAGATTCAACGGATGCCACCCTGGAAGTACCTGGGTCTTGAAATAACAAAGCGGACCATTGTTCCACAAAAATTGGCTATTAAAACCAACATAAAAGACCTGGCGGATGTCCACCAGCTGTGTGGGTCTTTGAACTGGGTAAGGCCTTGGCTAGGCATTCCAACTGAAGACCTAGCCCCCCTTTTCAATTTATTGAAAGGGGGAGAGGAGCTTAGTTCTCCAAGGTCCCTTACCCCAGAGGCCCAGGCAGCGCTGGAGAAAATCCAAAGTTCCATCTCGGCCAGGCAGGCCCACAGATGCCATCCGGGTCTGCCATTGAAATTCATTATCTTGGGTAAACTGCCACACCTCCATGGGGTGATTTTTCAATGGGACCATACCATCAAAGGCAAGGACCGAGGCTCGAGGGATCCCCTCTTAATCATAGAGTGGGTATTCCTCAGCCATCACAGGTCCAAGAGGATGACGCAGCCCGCCGAGCTGGTGGCAGAACTGATCCGAAAGGCCAGATCGCGGATCAGGGAGCTGGCAGGTGTGGACTTTGAGTGCATTCACATTCCATTAAAATTCGACTCGGGCCATCTAAAAAGAAAAATGCTTGATCACCTCCTTGAGACCAACTAAATGCTCCAATTCGCTTTGGACAGCTACACCGGCCAAATTGCAGTTGATCGGCCAGCCCATAAATTATTCAATCAAGAATTCACATTATCTATCAAAACGGTTCAAAGTAGGACCCCTTTGAAGGCTTTGACAGTTTTTACGGACGCGTCTGGAGCATCCCACAAGTCAGTTATGACTTGGAAGGATCCTCGGACTCAGCGGTGGGAGGCCGACATCACTGAGGTAGAAGGATCGCCTCAGATTGCTGAGTTAGACGCAGTCATCAGAGCCTTTGAGAGGTTCTCTGAGCCGTTCAATCTTGTTACAGATTCGGCTTATGTAGCAGGTGTAGTGTCCAGAGCTGAGAACGCCATCCTTCAGGAGGTATCAAACATTCCTTTATTTAATTTGCTCTCAAAACTCGTGCATTTAGTCTCCCACCGAGAGCAACCATATTATGTGATGCACGTCAGGTCTCACACCGATTTGCCGGGGTTCATTGCGGAGGGCAACAGGCGCGCTGACGCCCTTGCCGCTCCAGTTCAAGCTGCCCCTCTCCCTGATCTGTTCGGTCAGGCAAAGATCAGCCACCAGCGATTCCATCAAAACGCCCCTGGCCTTGTTCGTCAGTTCCACCTAACACGCAAACAGGCCAAGGCGATCGTGGCTACATGTCCCCATTGCCAGTCCCATCAGCTCCCGTCCATACCTTTGGGAGCTAACCCCCGAGGTCTATCCAGTTGCAAGGTGTGGCAGATGGATGTCACCCATTTTCCACCTTTCGGCCGCCTTCAGTACCTTCATGTATCCGTGGACACTTTCTCTGGCGCAGTCTATGCCTCTGCCCACACAGGGGAAAGGGCAGCGGATTGCGAGAAGCATCTGCTTCAAGCGTTCGCTGTCCTGGGCATCCCCAAGGTTCTCAAAACAGACAACGGCCCAGCGTACAAGTCCAGGGAGCTGCGAAGCTTCCTGCAGCAATGGGGAATAGAACATAAGACCAGCATCCCCTATTCCCCGACAGGCCAAGCCGTGGTGGAAAGGACCCACCAGAGCCTCAAAAGGGTTCTAGAACAACAACGTGTGGCCGTGAAGGTGGAGTCCCCCCATATCCGTCTTGCAAGGGCGCTTTATACTATCAACTTTTTAAATTGCTCGTTTGAGAACCTAAACCCGCCCATTGTGCGACACTTCGGGCGACACGAGCAGCTGCAGCTCAGGGCCAGGCCTCCTGTCCTCATTAAGGATCCGGAGATCTGGAAAACGGAAGGGCCTTTCGACCTCGTGACTTGGGGAAGGGGATACGCTTGCGTGTCCACCCCCTCAGGTCCGAGGTGGATCCCAGCCAAATGGGTCAAGCCCTTCCGCCCTGGGAAGACTCCAGGGGCAGAAAACGTGGGGCAAGTCACCGAGGCGTGTTGGCGGCGGCGGCGGAAACCCTAGGGGATGGAGCCACCCTCATCCTGAATCCCTCCCTGCCTTGGGCAGAACCAAGTTTGAATTCTTTTCTTACGTTTCTCCCTCTTGTTCGTTTTACTTACCTCTTCACCGACATGGACCTGGCCCGCCATTTCATCGCCCTGGCAGTCATCCTCATTGGGTCACACCTTCATCCAGCAGACCCTTGGATCATCCCCCAGCCGAAGGCCAATGTGTGGCGAACCCTCGCTAGCGCCCTCGGCCAAGAACACATATGTCTCAACCTGGCATCAGCAGAGGACCCAATGTCGACCTGCCTCGAGGGGATCCCTCTTCCTCCCATTCAGATTCCCTACCCTGTTGGCCCTCCCCTTATTGCCCTGACCACCAAACCTATCCCTTCTTCAGTTGACCCCAGGTTCGTGTGGAGGGATGCTATTAAGAACTTGGCTCCCCTAGACACCGAACCATCCCAACTTGAGTTGCTCGGCTCCGCCAACGCCTCTTTTTGTTTTCAGTTCGTTTACTCCCCCACCCCCGGGGACAAACGGTTCGAACATATGAGGCAGTTCAAGGATGAATACACCGCCGGCTTGTGGTGTGACTCTGTCTTCCATATTTACAACCCGTCCACCTACGCTGGACAGCCGCTGTCTCTGCCCCGGGGGATCTTTTTCATTTGCGGAGACCGAGCGTGGGCAGGCATCCCCTCTCGCCTGGTCGGAGGTCCTTGTACCATAGGGCGGCTGACGCTGCTCACACCCAACAACATGCAAATTCAGGATTGGAAGGTAAAGAGAGCGCAATCTAATT